TGCTGCAGCCGTGCCACCCATCCCAGGGCTCAGCAGAGCTGGAGGTGGCCAGTGGACAATGCCTGGGAACCATGGGGGTCCCCTGAACCCTCCTTTTGAATGTGAGCAAGGGGGAAACGAGCCCTCAGCATTCCCAGATTGGGGCGGTGATGGTTTCCATGCCTGCCTGCCGCTGCTTCAGAGGGCAGAGCTGGGCCAGGGGGGCTTTAGGAAGCTGCCAATGGGTTTCTGAGGGTCTGTGGGGTCTGTTTTGCTCCTGTGGGCCTTGTAGTGGGGGGGCCCTGGGCAGAGGGCAGGTGGGGGGGGCAGGACCCACACCGCTGTGGTGGGGCTCGTGCCTGGAGCTCGTTAGCTGGTGAGCAGGGCAGGCCCTGTGCAGAGGGGGTCGTCACACACCCCCGTCCCCCCAGCCTTCCGGGGGTGTCGCAGGGGGAGGACACACCTGAAGCGGCCCCTGGCTGAGGAGGTGCCTCCTGTGCTCTGTTCCAGGGGAGTCTTTGCATGGGTACAGGATCTGCATCCAGGCGGTGCTTCTGGACCGGCCCAAAATTGCCACCATGAACCTGGGCAAGGTGAGCTGGGTACCGGGGCTTGCGGGCGCTTTCCAGGCAGATGCCGTAAGCCTGGTGGTACTGCTCCTCCTCCCACCCTGCGGATCCCCTGGCGCAGCCGACGACGAACATCCATTGCTGTTAATCAGAGTCCTTTGGGAGCCGTCAGGGTTGTCCCACGCACGAAGCCCTTGAGCCTCCCTGCGTTCACGGCCCACGGAGAGGGACCAGTATCTCCAGTATCTCATAGAATCATAGAATGTTTTGGGTTGGAAGGGACCCCTAGAGGTCATCTACCCCCTAGATGTGCCGCAGCCGCTGTAAGCACCAGCGTCCTGCCGTGGCTTTTTGTTAAAGACCTTGTCCAAAACTCATGTTCCCTCTCTGCTGCTCTTGGAGGGAGCAGGATGCGTCCGCCCTTGGTGGCGGTAGGCGGTCAGGCAGCGGTGGGACAGATGAGGGCTTCTGGGGTCCTGCTCCTTCGCAGCGGGCGGCTGTGCCCAGTGGGTGATGTCTGCGGCTGTGGCTCGGCTGCCGTCCAGCACCGCGCGGTGCTGGCAGCTCTGCTTCCCCAGGGCTGGGGTTTGGGGTCCCGCCTGCCCCCAGCCGGCACGGCTCCCGTCCTCCCCTGGGGCTGCGG